GACACTCATCAGTTGGAAGTATCTAAAATCTGTAGAAATGGTCAAAAGTTACCACCGGAATCCCAACCTACTTTAAGAAGTGAAGCTGAATACTTCACTGTTAACCCACTGCCGACCTCATTAGAAGTTGATTGAGTACACCAAACAGACTACAAGCGATAATGCCTGAGGCTGACTATTATTTAGTGTTGTTGGCAATCTACTAACCAAGCGTTTAATACGGGCATTACAATATTTGGCATGATTGTACGCTGTAAATATATCAAATAATAGGTCGATAAGATTCACACCTACATTTTATTCATCATATTAATGGACGAATGGAACTAGCTGGGAGCCGACACCCAAAATCAAAAAAGCCACTTGCACCGTATTACTTCCGAGTTCCATAAATAAATAGATTAGTGACAATCTATATTCTGAGAATACATTTGATAAATACTGAAAAACGTTAGTTGATTTTAAAAAGAGAAGTTGAAAAGTTATCATTTTTAACTATTTTAATTTTATCCCTTTATCTTCCGGTTGGAACACAGGGCTTCAAGCTTGAGATTTGAAGTTTCGGTAGTAGCGGTGTTTATCCTTACGGCATGAGGTAGCTGGCCTCACACCTAACCTTCCCTCTTTACCTACCGTACTACTGGCTTAGCGAGTTTAAGAGTGAGTCGAATAGAGATATAACCACGGACATCCTGTGTGGTTGGTAAGCGTTCTACCGCTGAACCACCAACACCATCGAAAAATTACCTTAGGAATATATAACTTTGTGTATCTCAAAAAATTTGTTGGTTAATGAGTGATCCTAGTTACCGCACTACTTTTCTTCATTTGCCTTGAGAAAATCTCGTTTTATGTTATGATTTAAGGAATGCAGTGCAATTTAAGTCATATTAATATAAAGTAAAACATCATACAATTCTTCCTACCAATAAATTTGAATGCAGTAAGAACGACAAATGTACCCGGATAATATTAGCCCATCTTTTACTATTTCGAGGATTCCCCTCAACTGATTACAAATTGAACAATACAAAAATATAAATTACTACATTAAAGACTCAAACATCCTTTTTCCACGACAACAAGGAGTAATTGATAGGAACTATGAGTAACGTATGACCGGAATGATAAATAATTAGGGGTGTAAAGGGGCTGACTATTTATAGAATAATTAGACGATTGTGTTTGGAGGCTAAACAACAGAGTTCAATAAATTTCTTGTGGGTACAAACAATAATATGGGTTACGCAACTACAACAGACGTGTTTTTATAATCAACAGACAAAAGAAACTGAGTAATTGTCATGCATTTTATTTTATTATTGTGAACCATGCTAATTGTAAAGCGATTGTAGAAGAACTACGAAATGACATCATCTCACGAAATTTGTCTTCTAAATGCCTTGTTCAAAAGAAACCTAGGTTACTAAATTTTGCTTAGACAATCGTCATCAAACGATTAAATGCAGATCTATGTACCCAGAAAGAAGCAGTGGTGAGTTTAGCATTGCCTTGGGTACAACAAAGCACACAAATTTTATTATTACTTCCTCTTATATCTTGTTTATGAAATTTTATTCTTTCATCTAAACATGACTCACCCTAACCCCTTTTTCTTGCTAATTATAAAAAGCATAATTTCCATAGTTACGTAACCCACTATTTGTTATATTCATTCTAATTAAACCTTGGCGACTGGCTTAAATCTTGGGCTACCAAATACCTTTATACAGTAAAAATCGTATTGCATCTAATTTCTCATTTCCAATTCATTTTAAATAATCAAATCTTATTCAAATATAACCTCTAATCGGATTATTTATTCTCGTGAATATTAAATATTCTTAAACCCTACTGATCTGGAACTGCATAAAAAAGACAAAAAAAGCGTCATGCCGGGTGGCAAAGAGCCTTAAAAAATACCCCTATTCAATTCATGATTGTTCCAGAAATTATGAGCACTAATTGTCGCTCCCTGCCAGCTAAAATTAACTGTCTTCAATCACATTTATATTGCTCCTGGATGCAATTCCACAGAATTGTCTTTATTTGCAGATGAATTTACCTCCCTTGCTGCCACCTCCTTCGGAAACTCCTTGTTTATAGTTACTACTGTGGATAGACATATTGTATCATGTAAGAAACTAGCGAATACAATATTGTTAGACACCGAGCATCCTCTCTATACGCAGCTCTCTCCTTGCATTTCATCTGGTAGAACTAGAAGCAGCTATAGGAGGCTACATGCTAGGACTACCAAGTACGAAAGCTCCACAATACCATATCTGGCACAGCTGTTATGTGATGAGAAATTCGTTAGGTATGACACGACCAACTTACTGCGGCACTTTAACAAATAGCCCCATTGGTTTTTGTTTTCCTTTCCTCGTTACTGCTACACTGTTGTTCACATCTATTACACACTAATTTTATATTTCATATCCTGTGGTGCATTGTTTAAAATGTAAATGCAACGCTGTTCTTTTTATTTTTTTACTTTTATTTTTTCTGGGTATTGCTTTTTGATTTTTGAAATCTTATAAAAATTATGAGGTAATTAGATGCAATATATTGTAATGCACGCTGAAAATTCCATACCTGTACTACAAATACTGTTTAGAATAAAGCTATTATTATTATTAGTTTCTACCCACAAAAAATTTGTTGAACTCTGTTCTTTCGCTTATAAACACATTTGTTTAATTGTCCTGTAAATAGCCAGTCCTTTTTACTCATAATTATTTGATAAAGTACATCCATCCGGAATTATTTTAGTCTTAGTTCCTACTAAATACTCCATGTCATCGCGAGAAAAGTGTAGCCAGTTAAGAAGAATCTTTGAAATAATAAAAGGCGAGCTTACATTATTCTGGTAAATTTGTCGTTCTTGCTTTGTTCAAAAATACAACACATGAGAGTACACCAAAAATTCACATTGTATAACCTCAGAATCAAATTCATTTACAAATGAAATACTATCCAACTAGTAAAAATAAGATAGACAATATAAACATTTGATAAAACTAAAGCAGTCATGGGGAGAATCGTGCACTAAGCTAAGAGGTACACCAACACCATGAAAGAAAATATGCCATTGATTAATAGCACAAGAGTCAACAACAACAACAAAAAAGACATAAAACCCGATAGTTGAGAATCAGACACCCAAGCCAATAATTCAAAAAAAGAGCCGCTAGAAGTAGTTCTACTACAGCACACAAAAAGCTGGGCTAGAATCACCAAGGAGGAGGCATATAACACGTGATATTCAGTCAAACACACCAAAGTATAAAAGAAAACAAAGGAAGCAGTCTAGAAATGATATAATTCTCAATGGATTTCGGCTACAATTGACTTATCATATGTGCAACACACAAAAAAAAACCGATGGGATTTGGGAAAAAAAATACACACAATAAAACTTACAAAAATATCCTAAAGCATATCATTATCAAAATTTAGGGGGAAAAAAGAGGAAAAATCAATCAATGAGATAATTTCAAGGCACTTTAGTGCGTATAAGTGAAATTCTAAACGAGATACGGTTGAACTTTAAGACGCGAAAAACTGATTTTTACTTCTATACTCAGATTATTCTATGGATAGATAGTTAACTCCTTCTCCGCATTTAAATTAGCAAAGCATCTGTCACTTTTAATACACTTACGTTTTTATGGTGTAAACTCCGTAGGCGTGTCTTTCTTATATACTTAGAAAGACAGTTTCATTGTTGAATGTTTTATATACCTATATTTAAATTACAGTATAGCTGTATAAGCGAATTATAGTAAGTCGAAGTATTATGTATAGTGAAAAGAAAAGAAAAACAGAAGAATAAATACAGAAACTTCATGCATTTATTCCCCTTAATGAATCTGCATAAAGCAAGAACAACACTGTGGTTTGTGCAGAATAATATGGTACCATCATTGTTTATTTCGTTGGCTTCTCATCAGCTTACAGCTGCTTACAACCTAAATAAATTATGAGGTTTATGTACAGAAAAGTTTTAACATATTTGTAAATTTTTCATGGTGTCAGTTGACAGAAGGTTCCGTAATTAGTGAACAGGGCTCAGAAAATTGCGCTTATATACTTTTTACACAGGCAGTTCAAGTTTAAACAAAATAAACGTGTGCATACAATGGTAAAGGAGTTACTTAATAAAGACGAAATATGTGTCAGATACAGAGTGACTCATAAATTAGATAGCAATTTACTGAGTTCAACTGAAATCATGGAAACAAGAGACAAGCAAAATTACAGATTATAAAAACGGGGTGAGGTTAAAGACAAAGATTACGTAATCAGATGAGAGAAAAAAGACATCCAGTTACCAAGGCAAGGAAAAAGTAATAACTGTTTCTTTCTGAACACATAAATCTGGTTTCAAGCGTTTGATAGAAATTGCTTCAGCAGTTGCTTCAGGAGAATCGAGCTCCTTTGTCTACTGATAATTTTAAAGGATTTCGCGATTCCCACCACGTGACCCGTATTGAGGAGATGTCTGGTAATAACGCTATTATAAGAGTTTGTTCCCTTGAGACGTAGGCTTTTCGGCACATGTTCAGTAAATCGGAGGTATGCCCTTCTTTCTGTTCTCTCAATGTAATTGTCTCAACAGATGCATGTGAATTTGTATACACATTTGGAGTTAACATAAGAAGAATATCTATCGACTTTTGACGGCACCAAAGAGCATGTTGCTCGACGGACTTGTACTGCCTGTGTAAAATCTATATAATCGCAATTTTCTGAGCCCTGTTCACTAATTACGGAACCTTCTGTCAACTGACACCATGAAAAATTTACAAATATGTTAAAACTTTTCTGTACATAAACCTCATAATTTATTTAGGTTGTAAGCAGCTGTAAGCTGATGAGAAGCCAACGAAATAAACAATGATGGTACCATATTATTCTGCACAAACAACACTGTTGTACTAGCTTTATTCAAAATAAATACAGAATTAAAATGTGAAAAGTCATTTCTTACTTACCTCTGAAACTACGAGCCAAAGATGGACCTACAGAAGAATCACGAGTAACAATGTTTGGAGAACTAGTAGCGTTTACTGTTGTTGATGGTATTACGGATCGTGCATTCGCTGCTGTAGTATAAATTTGATTCATAGGTATTGTAAATTGCTCACATGATGGCGAAGTCACCTGTGTTTGATGTGAAGGTGAAGGTTGATTTGTAGAGCTCAACATTGCACCAGAACAAATACTCTGCCTTTGTCTACTGTTCAACTGATTTGAAGGGATATTTTGTTGTTGCATATGCATAAGTCTTCTGGCGCTTGGACCTGGGCAAACAGCACCACTGACAATACCAGAAAGTAAATGATTTACTTCATCCACACGAACACTTCTATCCTCTAAGGCTGAACGAAGATCATCTGTTGTGTATTCCATCTGATGACTGTAAGGATACGGAGGAGCGTCAGCCACCTCTCCTCCTGGTCCCAAATTAGCTGTAGGACCAAGGATTGAAGAAGAGCTTGACAAAGCATAAATATTCATGGAAGAAAAACTTCTCGGAGGCGCTCCAGAAGCCCCTGTTTCCTAAAAAAATTAATACACATGCAAAAGAAATGGGATTTTAACAAAAAGTGATCAAATGACAAAGATAGAGTGTCAAAAATATAAAATGTAACTGATTTTGAGTCACTACAATGTAAGTTACAAACACAGTCACCGCCCTATTCTCCATAAGGCAACAAAATGGAAATTTCGCCACTTTGATAGATATATCTGCAATGTTAATGAGACAGACATTGTTTTAAGGTTTGAGGCTATAGCTTGTAGCTGCTTAGTGAAACGCAATAACGTTGTCGTACTATGATTTTCAAACACCATTGTTATGAAAGATATCGCAAACAACTGTCACTTTAAACGTCTCCATTATCAGAAAAACAGATTTTTAGTCGCACCTCTAATAAATTAAGGCCGGAAAAATAATGACTTAATGTTATTTCGTAATCACTTTATGAATTAGTTCTTTTTGAAACAACACCATATATATATATATATATATATATACCACCATTCTTTATTAAGACAAGGGTGAAAAAGTGTACTTTATACAAATGATATTTAGCAAGACAAGTTTTATGTTCAATTTCATTATAATTGCAAAACTAAACGAAGACTCTTAAAAAGTTTATTACTTATGTTTATGTAAACAATAAAAAGATATTCTTGTTTGTTTGTATTTTAAAAGATATGAACCGCCATGAAAAGTAGCCTACTTATATCTTCAAAACACCAGCTAAATAAAATAGATAGGGTGAGTCATTTAACAATTTGTATATTATACAAAACCAGTAAAAATAAATGCCAATGAAATTTCAAACTATGAAGAGACAAACCGAGATCGGCTTACTTATATTTAGTCGCGCAATATTATCTTCAAGTGTTGGCTTGCAGAGATTTGGTTTCTTTCAGGTCAGATCAGGAATTGAAATTACTTACAGAAGTACTTAAAACCACGGAATACTGAACAGCTATCTCATGGAGTAGAGCAGGTCGGGTGTGACGACAGATACTTGCCGATGACATTAGCAAGTGGTAGGGCTATATCGTGAATTGGTAGAATTTGGCATTGATGAACCATTGGTTCTAGCTCATGTTGTAGCCAGAAAGTCCTGGGTTCGAACTCTATTGTGTCGGTGCGTACTGATGAAGAGTCCTAAAGTAGGCTGGCGAGACAGCTGTTCAGTACTCCCATGTTTTCTGATGGTTCTCCAACTGATGTCAGCTTATGATGAGATCCTGTGACTAATCAAATCAAATCTCTGAAATCCGACATTTGAATGTCTTCTTCCCTATTGGAACTTGTTAGCAGTACACACCTATGACTCCACCGGATCTCAAATACTCAATTTAAGAGACGAGCTTACTGACCATTCAACCACAAAGACGGAATCTAATGGCTAACAAGTTCTGACTCTTTCTGGTTAGCAAGATGCAGCACCACCACAAACCAACGACGTCGGTGAGTACTTGTCCTTACATGCAACTTGATGGACTCCATTGGCCACGACCGTCTCACTACAGCTTCAGGCAACTTCCTTCTGTAGTCGGTTAGAAATAAGCTTTAGATTAATTTTCAAGTATTAGTTTGCAAGGATTTAAATTTCAAGTACATCTCAGCTTATACTCACAACTATATATGCATACCTTTACATACAAATGAATGCACATTACAATGAAGTATGAAGGAATCTAATTGAAAAAAATATTGTTCATTTTCAGATTTCATCTTAAATTTTTCTTTGAGAGTCTTTGATATTTATATATCGCCAAGATTAATGGAACAAAAAGCACTGGATTACATAAGATAAACACAAAAATCTTAAGATGATTACAAGGAATTACTGTACTTAATTAAAACTACTTTCAATTAAGCAAAATAGATACTTCATTAAAATAATAATAATAACATGTTAATTCTGGACAGTATTTATAAAATGTACACAATTTTCAGGTGAGTTCATTGTGTGATATTTTCCCTTCGTATAATATTTTCAAGTAAAAATATTAATTGACAGTAGTATATCCTTTGACGCAATGCTCTCTGAGCCGAAGGACAAATCATTCCATTATGATATATCTGCTTTGTGTCATTCAAGAAATCCACGATACCTGGTTGGAAGCCAACTGTAAGATGCTCAGAAGTACATTTTGAGACCCAAGGATATAACTAAAGAACAGTGATCTCATGCATTGGAACACACTGCCATCCACAATCAAACCTTTCCTAAATTTTAGTAGAAACTTGAGTATCAGGAGCTTGTAAACATTTTAAATACACACAAGAGTACATAATACCATCACAGGTCATATCTCAACCGATTACAACAAACTGAAGGAGAGAAAATATATGCGATAGAGAAATGGAAGTTTTTGGTAGCCAAAGTCTTAAGCAGGCCGCCAACGTCAAAGGTAAAACGTTACAAGTTATCCAAAATATGCTCTATAATTAGATCCTCCACAGCATATAAAAGTCGTGATCGATAAAACATAAGAAGGCTTAAATAATAATGACTTATGATTTCTAACTGTCATAAATGAAATTTACAAATTATTGAAAACCTGTGAGTGCCCTATAGCGTTGAAAAAGGTCAACGACTTCTTGAAGTTTAATGTTAAACTCGCTGAAGTAAATGCATAAAGCCTAAACTTTATTCTTTAATAATCAATAATAAAGATTAAGTGTTGTTGTCAACTCAGGTGACAGAAATGATAATAACAATAATGTTGATATCAATAAAAAAATAGTAATAATGACTGATAATAGTAATGGTAACAATAATGATGATCTTAATAATAGCAAAAGTGGAAATTTTAATTTTAAAAAAAACTGGATTAAAATCTTATGGGTTTGATCATAGACTGACATCGATTAGAGAAATACCGAGAAGTTGGAGAGTAGTGGGCAGCTGTCTCGTCCTACTTCTTTTTGACTCTTCATCAGTACGCATCCACCGCGTTTCACACCCAGGATCTTCTAGTTACAAGGCGTGTTCGTAGACCATTCAACCACTGAGATCTTATCCCCTAAATTCCAACTTCTACCAATTCGTGATATATACAGCATAACCGCCAGTCTGTGTCAAGCACGAATAACTGTCCCCTTAACTGACTTAGTAGACCTCACTGGTCATGACTTCTCACTGGAACTCCAATTAGTTTTTTTATGGAATATGCAGGAGAAAGTGGAGATGGATTGGACACTCGCTGAGGAGGCCGCCGCTGAGTGACATCGCGCGCACATCAAGCCATTGCTCGAGTGGAACCAGGCCGAAAGGGAAGCGGTGAGTGGGACGTCAATGCAAGGGTAACATGGAGGAGATCGTATGAAGAGGAGTTGAAACAGTATGGATTAACATGCATGCAGGCGAAAAGTACAGCAGAAGGAAGTGGAGACATGCAGTTGAAGCTCTATGTTCCACTAGGAACCCAAGGGAAAAATAATAATATTAATAATAACAATTGGAATATCAGATCAATTTTCAATTTTACAATATCAGAAATTGTGTAATACTGTCGAGTGGTATTCAGACAATAATGTTACACATTATTACCCTTCATTAAACATACATAAAGGCATGTTTTAATAATCTGTCAGTAACTGTCAGGCTGAGGTTTTATTTATTTCCCACAATAAGGTAAAAATATTAGACATTAAGATACCTAATATACCTAATAAAACATATATGATGCACTACTTTCCTCACCTACAAAACCCGAATAACTAGAGGGTAACTTGATATAATAATAATTAATTGCTATAATTATTAGATAGAAATCAAATACACCCATAAAACGCATATTTTAACTTACCCATTCGTCAAAAATTGTTTCCATGGTCATTTATTTATTTTTATTTATTTTTTTGGCATACAACACTTTCAATAATAAAACATTGAAAAGGAAAAAAGTTCTAATTTCACTAGACGACTGTGGCAACTAAAATTTCATCCTATCAATAGTTAGTCCAATGCGATGTTTTCAACATTATTTAATATTTTTGGATAACATAAATAATGATAATAATAACAAAAAGAACTAAAATCCGTTTTCGGTAGAATGAAAGAAAATGGATCGTATATACATATGTAATATACTATACTGAGAATAGACAAAATAAAAATAATAAATGAAGTATACTTCATAAATCCTTAAATAAATCACGTGAAACTAGGAAAAAATTGATTTATTGGGAAATATTTTGGTTTCAAAAGGGCTATAAAACAATGTATATATTTATATCTACAGATAAGGTCAATGTTGCTAGCAATAATCTATGTACAAAGTGAATGCAATGAACCAGTTGTATACAATACCTAGCGAAATTATTTCATCCCTAAAAACTGTCTTCAAATACTGTTTCAATGAAACTGACAAACATTGATTAAATGTTAAGAAAATTTCAAATGTGAATGTGACACATTTAGAATGAATAAAATATAAACCGAGTTTTTATATTAGGCTGATGGCTGCTGACTAAAAGGGGGATTCGGATTTTCAACACCAATGTTAAGTCGGTCATTTCTTTTATACAGGTCAGAAACTTGTACTGCATGTCATGAAAATCACTTCCAACAGGTTACTGCAGACCTTCATCAATACCTGTCTTCGCTCCATACTCAACATCAAATGGCCAGAAAGAATTAGCAACAAGAAAATATGGGGACAAAGTAACCAAGATCCTATTATTCAACAGATATGTAGGAGAAAATGGAAATGGATAGGGCAAACACCACGGAGACAGTCGAATGACATCGCGCGCCAGGCCGTTGCCCAAGTGAAACCCGCAGATGAAACGACGAGTGGGTCATCGGTGCGAGGGTGACATGGAGGAGACTATGAGAGGAGAAGATGAGAGATTATGGGCAATCGTGTGGCTACCCAGCTGAACAGGACAACAGAAAAAAGAACAAGGTGGAGATGTGTTGTGGAAGCCCTATGCTCCATTAGGAATCCAAGGGAACAATAATAATGAGAATGATAAAAGGGGGAATCCAGGAAGCAGTTTTCTTCCTATCTACCAATCTTCA